ATCTCATTGGAATTTTCAGTTTACATTTTTCACCTTCACAATACAAGCTCTCCCAGCTCCTGTAAAAAGGGTTGTCATCTTCACTCATCAATACAGAAAAACTAGTCTAATCAACTTGTAACATTTAGTGGGAGGAATCAGTCCCAAAGCAGAACTCATGGTTTTGCGATTTCCACTCCAAGATTTAGATGATGTCTCTCAAGAGACCAACAGAAGTCAGCAGGCAAAGTAGCTACTTCGGAATTTCTGAAAAAGCCCCTAACCACAATGTGGTATTTAGGCATCCAGTTAAAAATCTAGCCCATAGCAAAGCAGAAACAATTCTTAAATCCAGTACTTACTGCTCGTTTAAAAAGAATTAAACATACTTAAACCCTGAGTAAAAGCATCCAAACAAAGATTTCATGGGTTATAATTCACTTTAAAAATACAGTGTTAGTGGATCTGGATGAACCTTCCCAAATGAGTTATGGAAACTAGCCCTCTAGTTAACAGCTCATTGGAGATGGAATCTCACTTCAGTAAGAAGACTGAAAAAATCTATATAGAATATAAAATTGCAATATAATATAAAAATAGAAACATAACAATTCTTTAAGGAGATATTTCCTGGTTGCCAACAGGAGAATCCTATGTTCTGAGGAGCATGAACACTTTAATATTATAAGTCTTTGAAGCCTGTGACAAAAAGTAACACAAATTTCTGTGCAGGTTAAAAAAAAGAAAACACACACACACACCACACACAAAAAAAATTCTCCCCTTCACAGTAATTCCCCTGCATTCCCTCCCTTCCCCCTTGCCTCCTCCAGGGAGGTTAATTGTAAGCAGATTTATAAATTCGAACATTGCTTCAGTGCACTGAAGCAATCTGCAACAACAACTCTGTGCCTTTATAAAACATAATTTTGCCCTGCCAGGACTCACTGCAGAGGAAGCTCATGGCAGCAGAGAGGGCTCTTCGGCATCATCACACCACAGTACTGGGACTGGTGCATGCCCGGAGAGGGACCCAACAGGGGTCCTTGCGGGCTGCAGATTTTACAAAAGCCGATGGAAGTGAGAGATCTGCCAGGCTCAGCCAAGCAGTTGTGGCCAAGGGAAGGGCCACTTCTTCCCCCTTGTACCCTGCAATAAATCCAGTGTTTAAGTTTTATTTAAGGGTAGGTTTCACCTTATAAAGTGTAGGTTCCAGCACCCTGCCTGAAAGCACGCATTGCGTTTCAGTGCTTTGCCCAGATTTCTGCCTACTCCCTCCGTCATGCCAGCTGCCGCCATACGCACCCCTGCCTGCGCTCCGGGCACATGGGGTCTGCGCGTACAGACACTGTGCATGCCTTCCCCACACCGGGGTCAGCCAGGGATGAGGCTTCAACAGCAGCTCAGAGATGACATATCAGAAGGGCAAAGGTGAGTTTCCTGATGCTTTCCACAGCCTAATGAAACGCTTGCAGCCCTAGTAGCCATCCCACTTCAGTGGCAGCAAAAACCATCCTGTGCAATCATAATTTGTCTCTGCATGTTCATAAAGAAATTAACAGGCTGAAAGGATGGGGATGGAAAGGAGAGAAATGTTTTGGAACGGGGATCAATCAGAGCCTCGGTTGCACCTACAACTCCTGAATTACTTTCTGCGCACCCACAGAGGAACCTACATGGGACAGTCGCACAATAACCCCCGAACCTGGTGCACGGTGCTAGGGAGGGGTTGGCTCGGGGGTGCTACACTTAAAGTTGCAGCTCACCTTGTGGGAATGGGAATGCAAGCTCAGGAGTTTCTGAGGTGGGAGATCTGAGGGATAAGACAGCAAAGCTTCATTTGAAGCTCTGTTTTCTCCCTGTTGTCAGATGATAAGGCAGTCATAGCTAGCTCGTTTCCCCTCACACCCGTTGTCTCGTCTATTTAGAGGACAAACTTTTTGCAAGAGCAGCTACACAATGAGAGACAGTTCCTGCGCCAGTGGGATCCCGTTTCAGCTGGGTCCTGTAGATACTATCACAATACAAATAGCTCCATTGTTGCCCTGGAGGCGGCCTTGTTACTGACCTCTCTCAATCAGACCTGGGGACTACAATGGGGCAGGAGATACCTTGTTTTCCTTAAACGAACAAAACAACCTATAAAGAAATGCAAATTTGGTGCATTCCTTCATGATCTCGCTCCATTCTCTGTGACAAGATAAAAGCACACAAGAAATGCTGAGTATCTTTTCATCTCTTACAACATGCTGTATCTCCATCTTTAAAATCTTATTTACTGCGTTGGTTAGGCAGTCATTTCTGATCTTAGATAGTTTGTGTGTAACTCTCATTAAACTTAAAAGGAGTTGCACATCTAAGTATGTATGCATGCCCTTTAAAGGCAGAACAAATAAAAACACGACTGTTGAATTTAAGTAGATTATTCTGGATACTGAAATCCTGTATTTACTCCTCCTTAGCTCTTGGGAACAGACATTGGGCTTCCTATTTGCAGTTGCCATCACGATCAACTTCCCCATTTGGGAGTGGTTTGGCCATTGCAGGCTTCTTTTTCTGTCCTTTGTTCACGGCATTCATACTACGAGGTAACAAAATTGTAAGAAGGGAGAAATACAAAGTGCGAATAAGGTACTTATTTAGAAAAAAACACCCTCAATCTCCTAAAAAACCCACTAACAAATGTTCTTTTGTTTACATAACCTTCTAAAGAACTCCACTTGAAACCTGGAGACGTCTGTAAGAAGGCCAGATTAGAAAAGAGGTTTTCAAACCTTTTAGAGTTGAAAAGTTCCTGTATATGAAGAGATAACAAAGAATCATCTCAGCCTTACTTTTTAAACCCAGAGGACAAGACACTCTGCATTCAAACCGATGACATTTAAAATAATTTCTCTGTTCCACTACAGAAACCTTCTACAGAAATGCAGCCAGAGGATATCCTTCACTTCTTCCCAGGGTCTTCTCTGCTTCCTCACCAACCTACTATCCCCCTTTCGGTGCCTAGGGTGGTTTGAGATAAAGGCAACTGCCAAAGGGCAGTTTCACTCTGTTCACCCTAAGAAACCAGCAGAGCTTACTTCTTGCATGGGACAACTCTGGCAAAGCTCCAGCTATCCTATGAGAGAAAAAGAGAACAATATACGACCTAAAAAGTGATAAATTTGTATACTTCACCCTAACTAACTTTGGTTAACACGTTAGCAATACTGCTACTATTTCCAAAACCTACTCTGATGCAATATTACAGCATTTAAGAGGATTATTATCGCACATCAGCAGTAAAATCCCAGATGTCATGCCTGTTTAATTAGCCACAATTTCTGATTTCCATGAGGAGGGGCTGAAAACTCTGCAAAGTGACCCTGAAGATATATCTACCTCTTTCTCTTTCCCCTCAACGCTTTTCCTCTGAGAGGGGAAGAAGCAGAGGGTGAGAGAGAAAAAAGATGCAATTAATACAGACCGGTGTTTGGGATCTGGTCTGTTCTTGCCCAACTACAGAAAAATGAACTACTGGAAAGTTTCACGCAATTTAGGAAAGAGAAATGCTTATGACTGAACTGTGACTTAAATATGTTCTCGTCTTAACTGTCTCATCAGTGTTAAAATTCTTTCTCCAGTCTTAAGTCTTCTTAAAGAAGTTCTGTCAGTGAATTAAAAAAAGAGAGCGGTACTGGGGTAATTTTTTTTGCTTCTCATGTACACAGCGCAAGTTTCTGTGATGTTTATTATTGGAATTGACCTACTGAAATCAGGAAGGTCATTAATAACGGAAAAACCCCATAACATATCATTAATACATCATTATATGAAAGGATTTTTTTTTAGTGCTATCAAGCCAATCAAAATATGTGTAAGCTTTAGAAGAGTTCCTCCTGGAGATTTGAGAAAGGCTCCTTTCTGCTAAGTTTTCATGCTTGAAAGGGATATCAAGAAAAAGAGAAAAATCACAAATTTCTATCTAAATATTTTTTTTAAAGTTAATTTCAAGGGCAAACCAAAGATTGCTAGAAAAGAAGGTAGAGGAAAAAAATACTTTTTTTTTTCCCCCCTGATTTGTCTATTTGGCAATATTTTGCACATAGCCAGATTTACTGACTACGCAGGTTTAGGAGAGGATTTCACCTTTCAGAGAAGCTCCAACTAGTCAGAACAGAAGACCCAAGGCCGTCGTTCCATCAGCTTTTTAACATGCCCTAAACTGGTATTTTGCGCGGCCAGGCCAAAAATTTGACGAGGGAACTCGCTCCTCCCTCTGGCCAGCCGCTGCCAGCACAGCCCGGGCCGATCCCAGCGCGGCCGCCCACGAGCACGCGGGCGTTCCCAGGAAAGGAGTCAAAACATTAAAAGGGCTCAACAAGCCGGTGCTGTCCCCTGACGCCTCTGCCCAAGAGGCCCTTTCACAAGGGAAAACATCTGGTCATAATCCAATCTTAAAGCAGATAGCTGTGGCTGTGGGCTTTTAAATTTAGGCAGGTTAACGAACGCTCACTTAAAATATCTTTAAATAATTCAACTAGAAACAACTGGCAAAAGCACCTACTTCGAAGTTCTCACATCCACCCAGGCTGGCCGCACTGCCTGCACATCACGTTACGCTAGAAATTGTTAAATGATGGCATTTAGGCTGCAAAGTTAGGGACTCAGAAGTCAGCAAAGAACAGGGCTGAAGTTGCGTGCAAAAGTCAAATTGCTTTTTTGTACACGAATGCACAACTAGAAACAACTGGCAAAAGCACCTACTTCGAAGTTCTCACATCCACCCAGGCTGGCCGCACTGCCTGCACATCACGTTACGCTAGAAATTGTTAAATGATGGCATTTAGGCTGCAAAGTTAGGGACTCAGAAGTCAGCAAAGAACAGGGCTGAAGTTGCGTGCAAAAGTCAAATTGCTTTTTTGTACACGAATGCAGGTATTAGCTTCAATTACATAATCGCAGAGTATTTTTCTTCCCTTGGGACTGCCATATATACATAGGATATGACAAACAATAAATTGTTTCTGAAGACAACTTACATTCTTTGGACATTCCCACTTCAAAGCACTTCTGTAGTCTGCAGTACTGGCAGCGGTTTCTAGTAACTTTATTGATAACACAGTTTTTATCTCTATGACATGTGTAAACCATGTTCTTCTGGATACTCCTGCGGAAAAAGCCCTGAAATCAAGAAAAAAAGAAATCAAATAAACCTTTGAGCTTCCCATAACCCTTAGAGACAGGCACTAAGATTGCCTTAAAATAACAAAATAAATTCAAAGTTATGGTTGAAGTAGGGAAACTTTAAAGACTCAGGCTCATTATAATTTAATATTGTTATTCTTCAGCATAAGAATCATCTCTTAAATAAAAGCTAATTAAATAACGCAACCTAAAGCCAAAATAAGCAAAACTAGCACTAGTAACAGCATTCAGGAAATGAACTCCTGGATTTTACACAAAGGCTCAAATAAAAACGGTTTGGGCTTATGTACTTCATAATGAGCTAGGTAAACAACAGCCTTCCAGACTGAAGCCACTTGGAAGTCAGACACTCATCCAAGAAGCAACGGTCTCCCTCAGCGTACAGGTCCCCGCTAGTTTTGCCGCTGCAGAGATTCTCTAGTTTGAAATAACTGGGAACGCAGCTCTTTCAGTAGTTACAACTCCTACAGCAATGAATGCGGCTTCTGTGGGTGGAAGAGTTCCACCTCAGGCTATTGAGTTTTGAGCTCACAAACCCTGCCAGCTACAGTATTTTCCTTATTCAGACACAGCTGTGGAAATAATCATGCAACTATAACGATCTTGAACAGAAATTAAAGAAACAGCACTGAAAGTCTCGTTCACACTTAGGGAACATCATTGGACTGGATTCCTCCTATGGCGAGTAAAAGGGAGAAAAACATTCATGGACAGCAAGGTTAGCTGGCGCAGAAAAAAAGGCAAAAACAAGTTAATTTCTTTATCTCCACTAAAAACCAAGCTTTAGATAGTATCATATAATAATGAAGAAGAAAGGAGGATTATTTTAAGTATTTTAGAGATCAGTCCACAGATAGGCAGTGAAAGTATCTCCGTGACAGACATCTGGAAACTTGACAGGGCTACTTCATCTCCTCACTCAGGTTTTGAGCATCAATTCAGCAAGCACCGGGGTCAAATTTCAGTCAACATCATAGTGCTATGGAAGGATACTTGGCAATGTAATATTTGTTGGAAAGCTCGAAAGGTTGAAACTCTTTACCAAGCCGCATGTTTACGCCCTAGAGGGAAGTGGTAAACTTGATCTCACAGATGATAGCTCTGTACCCACAATGCACTTGTCTGAAGATGTAATCACGGTAAGCTATAAAAAAGGCTTTCTTAAAAGCACTCACAGAGATATGCAAATAGTTCAAAAGCCCAAAACCCTATCGTTCAGAGTTTACCGAGAGTGTTTCTGGCCATGCGATCAGGGAGCGGTAGGGTAGGCACAGTCAGTAAGGGCTAGCCATAAATTCCTCGCACATCCAATGTGCTACAGATGCTAATGTTATGAAAATACCTCAGATTCACTCAGAACCAAAAAATACTTCTTTAATCACGTAACCCCTGGCAATAGTTTCTGCAGCTCTTGCACAGGCAAGTCTCATCCTGAGGTTAGCTTCTCTGATTTAGAAAAAAACTTAACGTTATAATTAGAGTGGTAATTGAAAACTCTTTTCTTCTTTCTTTCTTTTAAGCTACTGGATGCAGGATAAATATTTAATGTCATTCATTTAGCTGATTAAAACTTTTTAAAGTTATCAATAATGCTGTTATTTTATATTCTGCTCATCAACACTGCTTGAACGTCACAAGAGAAAATATGGCGAGCGTGTGCACTTGTTTCCTTGCTGAAAGTTTGTGATAATATTCACTTACTACTTTCTTACTTTGATATTCCCAGATACCTGGCTCTGGGAGAATTGTTGGTCATGCTAATCAGAACTGCCAGAAGCCTATGGCATCTATTTTAGTTTACTTCAGCAGGCAGAAGCTGCAAACTGTGCTGGCTCACGGGTCACTATACGGCTTATTCAGCCATCACATTTCAGCTGGAAGAGGTAGCAGGCGCCCAGCCTGCTAACTGCCCCTTCAGCCATCCCACTTTAATCCACTGCTGCACGTAAATCAATACCGTTGGTCAGGCAGTAACGGATTTATACCCCATACACCAGCCCAACAAGCCAGTAAGCAAAATAGCCTGAACAAACAAAAACACCTCCCTCACGCAACAGCTGTCTCACCTCGCTGAACAGCTAGAGTGATTTAACAAGAAACAGCTCCCAAAGCCTCCTCGTTGCCTGCACCCTCTTTAGGGCACTGACTGCCATTCATGCATGCTTGAACGACTTCTAGTTCACTGAAACAGGCGCTGCTTGAAATGAAATACAAGCGTCAAGTGTCATCCAATACAGAGCACAGAGGGAATAACCTCCCCAAAATATACCTGTAGTTCACCAAAACATAACCCGTAGCTAATGGCACCTGCTGATTGATCATTTGTTCTAATATTTCGACACAGATTCGGTGATCCTTTTAACCTAGGGTGTAATTACAATCCAAGAGGAGGGAAAGCAGAGAAGGCGACCTTGGTCCTTAACATACAGGACTTGCCCCTACAGCCAACCAGAGAAAGGAGATCCAACTTCTGAAAACAGCAAGTCAAGCATTCATAAACTCACTACTAATACAAAGGGCTTAAGAAGAACAAATTTAGAAGAAGCAGATATCTAGGTCTAAATTAAGGCAGTTCTTCCACGGGACTTCTTTCAATAGTCTATCCTTCCCAGGCAATAGCCCATGTAGAGTAAAATATATAGACTGGAATTTTAATTGTGGAAGCTTAGACTGTTTTGCAAACTGTTTTCCAACAGCTATGTTTGATTATCTTTCTTGACTTACTCACCAAAAAGGAATGAAAAATAAACTTGCAATGTAAAAATATTCAGAGGAAAAAAGGTTATGATGTGGTCCTACCCAAAACTAAGGACCTGTTTTTCAATGGTACATTAGTGCTCAAGTTTTAACAACTCTTCTGGAATACAACAGTGGGATACTATTTTACTAACATTTGTGACAAACCGTTTTTAAGATCTCAACAACATGGCACTTGAAAGATTTGATCTTAAATTTTCCTCCAGATAGGCATTAGGAATAATGTCCAGATTCAACATGTTATTTTGTATCTTTGCATATGAAGTCCAAAACAAAACCATCATACGGTGAGGAAGGGGCTGTTTTTCGAGGATAAGGTGGCAAACAGCATTTACATAGCTCTGCCGCCTGGTTTTGAGATCTGCCTCCACAAGCCCCACACAGTGCAGGCAGAAGTTTTGATGGCATTATAGGAAGGGTCGTGCCCAGGGTCATGTCAAATCTGATGGTAGGCTCACAAAAATATTTGCTCAGCAGGTCAACCTATATGCCAGGTAATCGTTTGGAATCGTGCTGTTTCAACACGGTTACTTTCCTTTCTTAGGTTTGTCTCACCCTAGATGACAGGTTTATAGCGACGGCCTGCTCACCATAAATACAAAGCAGACACGTCCCAGGCATCTGGGAGAAGGCACATGCTTTGCCGTCTCACACGTGCAGTGAGCCCGAGGCCTCTGGCATGTACGCAGAAGTAGTGATTTGTGCACAGCCCATGGGCAAACCTACCACCTGTGATTAAAAGCAGTCGTCTACCTCCAAACTGACAGAATTTGCCATCTGCAGGGCTTCATTTCTGTACATACTCATGCACAACAATAAAATCTAAATACAAACATTCTTGGGCTTATCCCCAGTAGGAGGTATTTGACAGGCTTGTACTTGACCGTGATTCTTCCTTATCCCCCAAGTATTTGACTTGTTACACCATCCAGGACAGGATACACTGCCTATGGCACAATGTCTTCCCGCTTATCCCATTTTATAGACTACAGCAAGGGCAGGACAGAGAATAGACAGGACAGGGTCTTTAATCCAGCTCAGGTATTTACTGTTCACTTGTTTTTTGGTTACGAGCATCTCTGCAGCAAGAGAAAGTATTGCAGAATATAGTGATGGGTAGAACTTGCATTTGCCTTTAGATTAAGCAGAAAAGCACATTTAAATCATTTCAAGGTTGGGTTCCAAGGATCAGAACAGGTATAGTACACAGGTATAACGTAATAGCCTTTTTATTGCTTTTGGCCAATATCTCCACCCCTTTCTTAGGAGTCTAGCCTTCTTTGTCATACTACGTCTATGGATCCAACGCCTTCTTGTCAGCTCCTCATGAAGGAAAGATTTAGGCAGGAAGTGAACGCTGTTCGGCACTGCTTCTATCCAACTTTTTTCCTCTAGGATTGCTAAAGCCTAGTTAGAAAGAGGCCTAAGTTTTCTCAAAGTGCTTTCTCATTTGTTCTCACAACCTCAACAGTTTCCTCGAAAAGCAAGAAAAAAAAAAAAGAAAAAAAAGAAAAATCTGAATGAATCTGAACTCTAAGAAGTTGCCAGGAATTTCAGAGACAGCAAACCACTACTGTTTATAAATTAATCAGCTTAAAGTGGCTATAGGCGCTTGTTAGAAACCAATGGAAAACAAAGTTACTACTTGTTGTAATGCATTCACCTTGTAAGGAATCTAGTCTGCTGAGGTATGGAACACTTACATGAGCAATTTTTAATGCAAACATTTTAACATTCTTTCCAAATTAACACCCTATGATGGCAGAAGAGGTACCCTGTGCCAAAAACAAGAGCAAATGATTCTTTCTTTGTAATTTAAAATGCATTATGTATATAAAGAAAAAACATACTGTGAAACACACTATAATTCTGTGATACATATTTGGTTTTGACAGCACCCACAAAGCACTTGAATTTATAGCAGAGGAAGCTGCTGAAGACCTCTCAAGAACAGTGATTTGCTTTAACATTCCTTTTATCCGCGACTTTTGAAATATACACGTATCTCATGTTTTTATTTCAGTGAAGGCAAACAAAGCTTTACAGAAGTCACACTTTCCAATTAATTTTCTTCTTTTAAGCTGCTTTTATCAGCACCCTCTACAGAAAACAGTTTGGACAAACATTTCAATTTTTAATCTCATCTTTTCTGCACTCCGAGCCATGCCCCTCCCCGGCCCACCAATCTTGTTACCTTAATGGATGACAGATAGAATATC